AGCCTTCTCACCTTCGAAAACCTAGCAGAGCGTTCACACCGGGGCAACGGCTGAGTTCCTGAGGCTAGGGCCAGACATTTGCCCAGCGCAGCTGCCCCGAACCCGGGCCCGCGCGCAAGGCGCGAAAGCAGCGGAGCCGGGACCAAAGTACCAGGTACCTTGAGCTCAGTAGGACCGGACTGTAGTGACTGTAGTGCTTGAGCTCCTGCAAGTTTGACACCGCCTGAATCTTCCCCGGACTCCACGATTTCCCAGCACGGCTGGGGAGCACGGATTCAGCTCGTAGCCGGTTGCATGCATCCTGGGAACATACTTGCTCTGAGAGCATCGAAGCAAGCATACCCGAAGCATCTAAAGATTGAAGTAATGTCCAAGTTGAGCCTCTTAACTCCATTGTGACGACCGTGCAAGTCAGCGCAAGGGGAAGCAAGAGGGACGAGATGCTTAAAGCTATGATGTGATGAGCTGGAGAGAAGGCTTCTTGCAGCTTGGCAGCCCGTGCTTAGCAGCAGCTGCAACAAGGCGTCCGTCACCGCTGCCGAAATCCACCAAACGGAGTCCAGCTAAAGGTCCTGCCAATGATGCAGCACGGAGTCCGTGGAACCAACGCGAGCTCGAGACTGTGAGCACGATTCTCCTGCTTTGCTCGAGGTACCACTTCCTTGAGGCTCAGGGCTCCATGCTTCAGGTCTAATCCCTGAACCCCTTTTCCCCCGAACCCTGAAACATCCCTAAATCCCTGAAGAGGGAGGGGTTACCTCCACTGAGGTCAAGGCGACGGGCAGCCCAAGCAGGCAGCACTTGGCCGAAGAGCACCTCCGGACATGAGGATGAGGGCTCGGGCACTTCTCACAGCTTCTTCCACAGGGTTTAGGACTTAAGGGTAGGAAAGTCGGATTTGCCATCTTCACAAACTCCTCAATACAGATGAAGGCTTTTAGTGGAAACAGGGTTTGTTCCAGCAAAGGACAAGGAATCCGCCAGTGAGATGGGTCGAACAGCTCTTTTCCTGCCCGCTACGACTTGAGCTGTGCCGGAGCCGCCCATGCCGTCCCACAGCAGGTCGAAGTCCTTCAAACCAAGAGCTTCTGCTGACGTTTGGAAGCCTGATCCCAGGAGCCGTCCTTTGATCGAAGACTGTGTAGGCGATCTGACAGCCTCTCCGCCACATCTGCACGAATGCGATTCCTTAGCACGGCGCCACAGGCGACAAGCCCCGGGCAACCCCATGGCAATATGTACAGCAATATAATATATATATATATATATACATATATATATATACACACACACCCATGTATACATATATTCGTTTATGTTGACGTTCATCCGTACGAACATAGTACTAGTTGAGTAACTTTTCATAGACCTAAGCCC